CCTCCTCCTCCTCCTCCTCCATCCTCCTCCCGTATCCTCCTCCTGCTCCTCCTCCTCCTCCTGCTCCTCCTCCTCCTTCTCCTCCTCCTCCATCCTCTACCCTCCCGCTTCCTCTCGGCCCCGGCTCCTGCTTGGGCAGCTTGGCCCACGCCGCCCAGTGCAGCCGGGCCAGGGGGCCGCCCGGCGCCGCGGCGGTCGGGCGCCTGCCGAGCGTCGGCAGGGGGGCGCCCGGGCGCTCGCCGCCTTCCAGCCAGCTCCGGAGCGCGTCCTCAGGGCCTTTCCAAACAAGATCCAGCACACTGCTTCACCAGGGCTTTGAGAACTCGCCCCGGAGAGAATGAAAGAACGGAGGATGTCTCGACCCACGGCTGCAGCCGTCTCGAGCGCGCCAGGGCCTCGGTCTGCCAGGACTCCCCGTGCAGGGGGCCCTGCCGTCCTGCTGGGTAAGGTTTCCCAGATCTCATTGCGGTATGCTTTTTCTCCATCCCCGTGTTTCCGGATCCAGTGTGCTCGGTCTCCCCAATCAGTGCTTTGCGCGGCCCGCGTAGCTCTTAACCGGAAGAGGCTCGCTCTCGACCCGCAGACCAAAAAGTTTTCGGGTCCAGGGGCGGTCAAGAACGGGTCCGGGGCGAGGAGCTACCTCCAGGGAAAGGGAAGGGACCGGTGGGGACCTCTGGGGCCGCGCATGGAACAGATCACAGCGTCGGATGTCTGGTTTTAGGACCTTCCAGGAAAGGTCTCGCCTTGGATGCATCTCGCCTTCGGAGGTGGGTGGGGGGGGGGCATGTCCCCTGGGGGTACGTGCTTTGTAGTTATTGTTTTTTTGCCGTGGCTGGATCCGCCTCGACATTCTGGCCGGGGCGCACCCCGGGACAAGTCCACGGTCTGATTCTCGAGCCTCGTCCCAAGACAACCTCGCGCCGTGAATGAGCACGGCGGGAGGGTGTGGGCTGCTCTTGGCCTCCGGGGGAGCCCTCGCCAGGCCGGCCGTCGGAGATGGGCTTAGGATCGGAAGCTGACTTTGGGCCGCGGCCCTCGGAAGTCGCCGGCAGGAACAAGACGTCACAACCCTTAAGTTCGATGCAGTACTGCCAACATGCACGGGTCGACACGAACACGAGCAATGGGATGGCAAGCCTCCAGCTCCACCTGCGAAGAGAGAGAAAAAGCCCGGATGTTTCAATGCAAGATATGGTGACATCGCAAAAACCGGAGGAGGATCCGCCCTCGGAGTCCAGCCTCCGCACTCGAGGAGTTCTTCGCCCTGCCACCTGCAGGCGTCCGCAGAGGTCTGGGCCTCCGGGGTGCAGGCGGAGAGCAGAAGCGCGGCGGCGGGGGCCTGGGCCTCGGGGACACTGCGCCAGGGCATTTTTTTTTTTTTTTTTTTTGTTTTATGTATGTATGTATGTATGTATGTATGTATGTATGTATGTATGTATGTATGTATGTATGTATGTATATTTATATATATATATTATATATATATATATATTCATATATATATATAATATATATATATCTATATTTTATAAGTTTTTTTTTTTTTTTTTTTTTTTTTTTTTTTTTTTGTTTTGATTTTTGATGTTATGGGCATCTTATCGCTTCTACGCTCAGGCAATCTGCAGCCATGGGCCGAGGCCTGCTCCATCCTGCGTTTTATCCAGCTGGAACTCTCAAGACCATGGCTCGCAGTGTCCTGGCTTCCAGAGACCGGGCGACGTGAACAGATTGCAAGATCGTGACACATTACGACCGGGATCCCAGGCCCCACCGTGCTGCGGCGTGATCAAGCCGGATCGATCTGTGACCCCCCCGGGCCCGAAATCATGCGAACACGCCGGGCTGCAGGGTTTTTGGGGCCCTGAAGTGTTTTGGGCCCCCTCTGTCCAAAGGCCTCTGCTCCAGAGGCCTCTTGGGACCTCTACCTCCGTGAAGCCTCCAGGGACCCTGCGGAGCGCAGGTCTGTGCTGGGGCAGGCCTTCCTGCCTCCTCTCTTGCGGGGCCCCGACGGCTCCCGACTCGATCGAAGGCCTAGAAGTTGGCACCGACACCACACTGCCCCAGAATTGTAATGCAACTCTCATGGTCCATTTGTTCATTTTCGTCGCCTTCGGCCTTTCGTCGTTTTGGGCCGTGTTCGGGCCCCCAGACCGAGGATGGAAAACTACCTCCAAGGAGGTCTCCTGGGCGATTCTTCGTCACGACATGTAAAAGTTGCATTGCTTGTCCATAGGGGTGCAGTATCGGCGGTTGCCTCCGCCGAGGAAGAGAATCGCGATCTGGGTGATGGTGGTCATATTCGGGCTTCTTGGGCGACCGACGCAGATTACCACCAACAGCAACTCCCAGGATCCTCAGGGCCCCCCCCCCCCGTGTTGGTGTTGGCGCCAATGTCCCAGCCCCGAAAAAAAAACAGATCTTTGGGCGTCCTTGCGCCTCTTCTCGGGTCGGGCGAAAGGGGGGGGATAGCAAAGGGGGGGGTTGAGAATCAGCTCGCGTAGCTGATTTTCCCGGCGCCTCCCGGCGCCGGAGGCGACCATGTATCGAGGAATGGGCCCCTCGGTGGGGCCGAAACCAGCTGCATGCAGCAAATTCCGTAACCCCCCCTTTCCCAATCCCCCCCTTTCGTCCGTCCCGATCTTCGCCGGGGGACCCAGTATCGACCAAAGCCACGACGTCGAGGGCGACGAGGCCGCCATGGCCGGGCCGGAGCACGGCTCGCGAGCACCCCGCGCGCAAGGGCCGCCCGAGCGCGCCACAGCTAGGGGAACAACAAGTGTCCTCCTCCTCCTCCTCCTCCTCCTCCTCCTCCTCGACATAAACATAAAAGCTCGGAGCTCCGCGCCGATTTCTCGGATCGGCGCTGGGGCCCCCCGGCGGCGCCTCCGGCGCCGCCCCTGGCGCGCTCCGCGCGCCAGGGAGGGGGGTCCAGCGCCGATCCGAGCAATCCGCGCGGAGCTCCGAGCTTTGATGCTTGTGCCACTTCTTGCTCCCCTAACATGAAGGGGCCCTGGGACACACAAATAAATACACACAAATAAAATTGGTTCCTATATTTTTCAATATTTTCTGTTTTTTTTTGTCTTCCCCCCCACTTCCCATATTTTCCCATATTTTCCTGGGAGTCGGCGATTAATTGTGCCTGTGTGTCTTTTCCCCTCCTGATAACAGCTCCGCTCACGCCGAGCAGGTGGCGGATCGCCGCGTGCCGCAGGGCACGCGGCGTGCCGTCGGGCCTCTGGGCGGCGCGGCGCGTCGCCGCGCCAGCCCGTTGTTGCTCGGGCCTCGGCGCCCAGAGGGCCGCTCCCCGGCCCCCGGGGCCGTCGAAGACGGACCCCGGAAGAGAGTCTGGCCCCCGGGGGGAAGTGGTCCGAGCTGGGGGGGGCGCCGTCGTCGTCGCCGTTCGTCGTTCGTCGTTCGTCGGCGTCGGCGTCGTCGTCGTCGCCGTCGTCGTCTTCGTCGGCGTCGGCGTCGTCGTCGTCGTCGTCGTCGTCGTCGTCATCGTCGTTGTCGTCGTCGTCGTCGTCGTCGTCGTCGTCGTCGTCTTCGTCGTCGTCGTCGTCGTCTTCGTCGTTGTCGTCGTCGTCGTCGTCGCTGCCCGACGGCGCCGGCGCCACGAAGGCATGACAACGTCGGGCCAGGGGGTGGTGCGCACCACGCCAGGGAGGCGCCGAGGCAAGCTGCACTGCCTTCTGCTGGTGCCGCTGCTGCGGAGGAGGGTCGGGTCGGACGAGTGGCCGTTCATCCGGCACCCAGGGTTCGAGTGGGGGTTGACTACGTAATTAATCGATTCAACCCAGAAGCGAGATCTTCGTCGATTCTGTGAGAGAAAACATGGTACGTTTGCAGATCTACGAACATCATACGTCTCCTACGGCAGGTTCGTGTCGTGCCGACCTCGGCGTTGGTTTCTGACACCGCGGGGATCGTTCAACCTTGAACGATCGGCCGTTTCCAAAACGTCCGCATCGTTCCGCATCGAACGATTTTGGGTCGCCCGCGGCGTTCAAGGTTGAACGCCGCTGGCGGGGTCGCCGCCAGTCGACACGACGCGAACCTGCCGTACCTCGGCTCGACGGCAATTCCCATTCTGGGGCACATCGATCCTGCAGTCGATCCCCTGCTCGACGGGCGCCCGGGCATCGAGCAAGGCGACCAGTGGCGGGGCCGAGGCCAGCGTGCACCGCCCCCTCTCCCTCCCCCCCTCCCCCCCTGGGCGTCCGATCCGGCGAGGGGGGAGGGGCAAGGACTATGTCGGGCGTGTCCCCCTACATGGGGGATTTTCGACGAGAAATAAAACATACCCCCAACATGCGCCCAAAGGCAAAACAAAACCTCAAAAACAGTCCCCGGACTATTTTTGGACTATCTTTTTTTGTTGTTAAACATATGTTTGGGGTATTTCTTATTATTCGTCGAAAATCCCACTGTAGGGGGACATGCCCGACTTAAGGCAAGGACGGAGGCCCCGGTCGTCTCCCCGTCACCTCCAACAGGGGACTCCACTAACGGGTACTTTGGCCAGTGACCCGGCGAACCCAACCCTCGCCGATGTGGACAACGCCGCGATGCCGGAAAGAGGCCCTAAAGTGGTCAACTTTCGGCGACTTCCCGAAGTGCCCATTAGCGAGTACCCATTACGGTGCCGCTCACCCCGGTGTCTCCCTGCACGGCCGGACCTGGGGCATGAGCACATCCTTCAGGAACGCGAGACCCTCCGCTGGCCAAACTGAAGAGCATCCGAGGGTGCCCTCCCTCAGGGTGCACGAGGACACCCAGCGAGCACGAAGAACGTCATGGCACCCTCCCCGAGCCGACGCCGACCTCATAAGTCGGTCCGGCCGTGGGAACACCAGCCGGCGCCTGCCGTCCCGAAGGGCGCCGGTCTCCGCCGCGGCCCACGACGCAGGGGCTATAGAGCCTCGCCCCTCGACGCCGTGGCATCCTCTCGTCCTGCGGGGCCCCTCAGGAGCTCTCGACCCCAGGGCCCGGGGGGCCTGCCCCTCCTCCCAGGCCGTGCCTCGCGTGTTTCTTCCCCCGGAGGGCCCGGAGCTCCGAAGGCCCCCCTCTGCCCCGGTGCTTGTGTTCCACGGCAGGACGTCGGAGGCCCGGGAGGCGCCACGCGGCGAGAGGAGCGCGAGACGGGCCCAGACCTTTGATTCAGCGCTTTTTCTTCTGACGTAGAGGCCCGCAGGCGGAGGTCCAGACTTTTTTCCCGGGGGCGACTTTTCCTCCCGAGTCTTTTTCCGACGGCCCCGAGGCCCGGCAAGGGCTCCCAGAGGCTTAACATAGCGAGCAACTTTTCGTTGTGATTTTTCAACGACGCGAGGTGGTGGTCTGGGGGCGGGGGTCGAACATCGAACCGTGGACGTGTCCTGGGGCGCGCCCCAGCCAGAATGTCGAAGTGGATTCAGCTGCGGCGACGACTGGCCTCCAGGAATCCCATAAGGAGCCAGAAGCTGTCAAACAGTTACGCTATCGAAGGGGCCACACATCGCGGAGAACCTCTCGCCGTTTTTTCGACGACGCGAAGGGAGAAAATGCTGCTACTCGAGAAATGGCGGCCAATGAGAAATGTCAGTGATGAGCCGACCATGATGCCCAGCTTGGAGGCGACCAAGGGACTTGAGCTGGTTGGGCCCTGGGGCAATCGGTCAAGAGGGGGAGGGGTGAAAGGGGTGAAGGTAGTTCTGCTCAAAATCGATCCCCTGAACCCTCCAGGGTGAAGTGTTTCACCCTGGGTTCGGTTTTGGCAATCGCGGGGCCCACAAACGGACCCCAGAGACGGAAAAGGGGGAAAAACCTTCTCGAACACCCAGAACCTCGAACCTTCCCCTCCCCCCCTTGCTGGCCAGAGCCGATGCTGGGCCACCTCAGGCCCCCCGCCGGCCCTAGTGCCCGCTCGTGCCCACCCCGTCTTCAGGGACTTCGCACCCCCCTATGAGGGTGGGGCGGGAAGACGGTTCGCCACTCCTGGCCTTGGCTGCCCCGGTACGCGACGCGCAGCCCGTGGCGTGCTGACACGAAGCTCAACACGTGAGTTGAAGACGTAAGTCTGGCGCGATACGCTCGCCAGAACGCGGGCCAGCACGCGCGTGAGCCGCGTGGAGCGCGGCGCGTGTTGCGCTTCCGGCGAGTGCGCAGCGAGGCAGCTCTGCTCCTGGCACTGCACGGGCGGTGCCAAGTCCGGTCGGACTTGGATCGGCCCCCGCGCCGGGGTTTCGGGTTGGCCTCGGGATTGCAGTTCAGGGCTTGTGGTTCAAAGTTTGGGGCAGGGTTTAGGGTTTAAGGTGTAGGGTTCGGGTTTAGGGTTTAGGGATTAGGGTCCACTAGCCCAAGCTCGCAGCCTGTTGGACGTGTCCCACCCACCCATGACCCAAGACATATTGATCTCAAAACGACGACGATGTTGTCTCCACACCGTGTCGCTGGCGTTGAGCCGAGCCCTCCACCGCGTCACGGCGGAATCGTAGCGATGCGTTGAGACCCGGCTTGCGCCGCTCACCACCGCCGCCCACCGCGGCGCCCCCAGGAAAGCGTCGACGAGGCGCAGCTGCGCCTTCCTCCGGGAGCTTCTCGGCGAGAGGATCCCGAGGGAGCGGGGCTTCTGGGCGGCCGTGGTCGTCCTGCCGCGCTGGCTCCGTGGCGCTTGAGCGCGCCGCGTAGTGTCAGCGCGACGGGGCGGCCATAGCCGCTCGGAAACCCAGGGGGCCATGTCCAGCCTCCACGGGGCGGCTCCTGGGGAAGGGCACGGGGGCGGCGCTCAACCCGAAAGGGTCGAGGTCGCGCCCGTACCTTTCGCAAAGGACTAACGGCGCCATGTCTGGCATTCCGATGCCAGCATCTCCTCCTCCCAGAACGCCGTTCCTGGCACTCCGAGGCCAAGAATCTGCGTGAGGAGTGCGCCGAAATGGGGGGCGGCATACGGGGCGCGGAAGGGCGTCCGTGAGAGCTTCAGGATTTAAATATTCATAGGCTCTTAGTTCTTCGTGTTGAAGGTGTAGGGTTAGGGTTCAGGGTTCGGGCTTGGAGGCCGCGCAGGGCCTCGGCGCGCGCCCAACGGGGCTCGCCCCGGGGGCCGCCGGCGGGGCCCGCCCCTGGCGGCCGGAGGCCGGCGCGGCGGGCCCCGCGTGCGCCCCCCCCCCCCCCCCGCGGAGGCCGCGGGGGGCCCTCGGCCGAGAGGGCCCCCCGCGAGGCCCAGGTGCGGAGCATCGGCGGCGACGCTGCCGCCACGCTCGCGTCGTCTCGTCGTCGTCGTCGTCGTCGTCGTCGTCGTCGTCGTCCTCCTCCTCCTCCTCCTCCTCCTCCTCCTCCTCCTCCTCTCCTCCTCCTCCTCCTCCCTCCTCCTCCTCCCCCCTGGGACCTGTTACCCTCGTGGGGGCCTCGCCACGTCTTGATCCTTGGGTCCTGCCCCCCCCCCCACCCGTCGGGCCGCGCCGTGCGGAGGACGAGCTGCCCTCCGAGGAGCCGAGCGGCGGTTGCTGGCAGCGGGCGCTGCTGCTGACGGGGCTGCCGTGCGGCGAGGGCGCGGCGCTCCCAGGGGGGCGGGGTCCGAGGAGGGCAAGGGGGGGTCTCGAGGTGTGGGGGGGGACGTGCGAAGGAGAAGGCCTTCTCAGGAGGCGGGACCTCGCAGAAGCCCTCGCGCCTTCCGGGAAGGCTTCCGTGCCTTCGAGGACAGCCTGGAGAGCTTCTCCGAAGGCCGGGGGACTTCCGAGCCTTCTGAGAAGGCCCGCCCCGCCCCTCCTCACTTCCCCCCGGGCTCGCCGCCGAGAGAAAACTGGCCGATGCTTTGCCCGAGTTTGGCCGACTGCAGAACTCCTGAACGCCAAACTGTTCGACCGCATCTCCGCCGCCTCCCGCCGACGATGTGCGGGCTTTCGCCGGCGGCGCCGCCGACGCTTCTCGTCTGCTGCCATCTCGCCGATTTTCTGCTGGCTCCTTCCGAAGGCGAGATGCGCCGCAGGCGCAGCCATGCCTTGCAGGCCCTAAACCCAAAAATCCGACGACGTTCTTCAATCGGCTAGACGTAAGAGTGACCCTGGGTAAGAGTGACCTTCGGTGCGCAGCCTTTGGGGGCGCGGGGGAGCCAAACGCAAGGGCGTGGGCCGCTGAAGTCGCATCGTGCTCGGCGATCGGGGGAGCCCGATGAGCCCGCACCAAAGGTCACTCCGGTGAAGGGCCACTCTTACGGGTAGTCGATCAAGCGCGCGGCCCCAGAGATCTCGATCCCTTCCCCCGGGCCAGCTCTCCGCCCTGCATCCATTTGTCGATTGCCCCGCGGGGCTGGGGAGCGGCACCCGGGGACCCGCAGCGCAGAAGCACGCCCAGATCCCGGCTTGAAAATAAAATCAAAGCGTCGGACGCACGCGCGCCCCCCCCTCCCCCCCAAGAACTCCGACGCTGTGTCTTCTGGCAGTATGGGCCCCCTGAGGTCTGGACCTGCTCCGGCGGCCACCCGGGCGACGGTAGTTTCGAAGCGATTGACATGTCTCAGCGAGCTGCTGTCGATCAACTTCGAGGCCCCGGACCCTCGCGCCAGCATGAGCGGAAATGCCGCGCGCGCGAGCTTGAGAGAACCACTCCTTGTCAGAGATATCATCGCAGCTCGTTCCCGCGCGCTGCCCCGGGACCGGCTTTTCGTCTGGAGCTGATCTTGGACGGTCCCGAGGCCCAGCAAGGCCCCCTTAGGAGGCCCCAAAACAGGAACCGGAAGCCTGTCGCGGCTCTTTCGCCGCGCGAGGGCGCCCAGGCAGGACCCCCGCGCTCCCGTCCTGCATCCGCGCGGCCTCCTCGTCGAGCAGCAGGCGCTCGATGAGCTCGGCCCGCCGCCGCTCCCCGGGCACCAGGCTCAGGGGCGGGCCCCCGGCGCCGCCCGCAGGGAAGGGGCGGTGGAAGGCCTTGGTGGGAGGACGCCCGCGGCCCGCCCGCGCCGACCCTGGCCAGGCCCACCCTGGCGGCCCCGGGCGCGGCCCTCTCCGACGACGACGGCGACGGCGACGGCGACGGCGACGACGACGTTGGGTTTCGCCCTCCTGGGCCCGTGCTGGGGCCCCAGAGCCGACGGAGGTGAATCCCGGGGCGAGAAGCTGGGCCCTCGGGAAAGGGTCGGGACCTCCGCGGCCGCGCGCTACAGAATGCAAATCGTCGGATGTGTCCGGGAACGTTGCTGCGTCTTGCTGCTGTCCTGCCCAAACGATACTGGCTTGTCGCATGCGCCCCCTTCCCGGCCTGGGGCCAGGACGGCGCCCACACCAGCCCAGGCCGCAGGAAGGGCCGGGCCAGACTCGCTCCGGGCGGGACCCCAGGCCCCCGACGTCATGGCATTCTCTCTGTTCCTTGCGGCCCCCTGGAGCTCTCCTCTCCTGCTGCGCCCAGGGGCCTCTCATCCTCATCCCCAGACCCCCAGGGCCTGCGGGCGGCTCCCTGGAGGGCCGAGGGCTCCGACGCCCCCCTCGGCCCCGACGTTTCTGCTCCAAGACGTCGGAGGCCCGGGAGGCGCAGTGAGGCGAGGAGGGGCACGAGACGGGCCCAGACGTCCGGCGTTGTGACTTTTCCAATGGCGTGTGCCCCCTGAAGCCTGGACCGTTTTCTGACGGCCCCTGGAGGCCGCAGACAGCGAAAAACCTCCCGTCGTGATTTTTTTCCACGGCGCGAGGTGGTCTGCCGGCGGGGGTCTAACATAGATCCGTGGAGGTGTCCTGGGGTGCGCCCTGGCCAGAATGTCGAGGCGGACCAGCCGCGGCGACGACGAGCCCCTCAGAGGCCCCGACAAACAGAAAAACGCCCGAAAACTTCGACTCACGAAACGAACACCCCCCTTCCCCTGGCGACACCAGACCGAAGTGTTGCTTTTGGTGCACCGGGGCCTCGGGCCCGTCCAGCAGCCAAAGGCCCCCGCCCGCCCCGACCACCGCCAGATCCACCGCGAGCCCGGGGCCCACGCGGATGTCGAGGTCGTAGCCCTGGCCCGACGAGCGCAGCAGCTCTGCGACCTAAGGCTGGGGGGAGGACGACTCCCAGGCGCGGCAGCGGGGTTGCTGTAGGAGGAGGAGGAGGAGGAGAAGGAGGAGGAGGAGGAGGAGGAGGAGGAGGAGGAGGAGGAGGAGGAGGAGGAGGAGGAGACGGAGGAGGAGGAGGAGGAGGAGGAGGAGGAGGAGGAGGAGGACGAGAGGAAACCAAGGATGCGTCAACGATGTTGCAATACACCATCCCGTCCCAAGTCCCATCCTGAGGTGTGCCTGCAAACATTCCTTGTCACTGGTGGCGAAAATTGTTGAGCGCCTCCCAGGGACCGCGGTGAAATGGGCCTGTTCTGTGCAGCTTCTGTCTTGCACTGGCAGACCCACGTGTCTGCTTCTCTGCGCGATCTGTGCAGGAAGGCGAGGCCTGGCGGCGAAAGCGGCAGTGACTGCGCCACCCATGTGTCGCCCTAATGCGAAGTGTGGTGTGGACCAACGGCCGCTCCTATGCTGCGCGCAGGAGGAGGGTAGGAGAAGGGAAGAACAGATGGCAAGAGAAGGATCATATCGGATGTACCCTTAGGCTGCGGGTCGGACCCTGCGCCTCAGCCCCTAGGGGAACGGGGTCTGGCCGATGCGGGCGTCCGCCGCGCAGCCTCAAGTGGGGGATGACGGATAGCCACGATACTGAGGTGCTTAGTGAGGGACACCGGTCGATGCTCCACCTCTTTATCGATTTCACTGGCCGCCACCCCAGACAGACGCTGGGAACCGCAGCCCCAGTGTCGGTGTGGCAACGCAGCTGGGGCTCAGGCCCCTGCAGGCTGCACGTACGGGCCTTGGGCTGGCATGTCCGAGCCCCATAAGGCTGCGGAAAGCCCGACCCCTGCCGCGGGACAGACGTTCTAGGGGGGGACCCAGGGGCCGACCCAAGAGGGCGGTCACCTCAGGACAAGATTTGGGCCAATATGCCTCCTTAGGTTATCCTGGGCCCCACGAGGGCTCTGGAATGGCACGAGCCAGGCGGCCACCGGGCAACATCGACCACTGCATGCATCGACAACAAAAAGCTCTTGGGGCCGAGATTGGAGGGTGCGCATGCTGGTCTGCTGCCGATCTGAGGGCCCCTGTTTCTGACCAGGCACCCGCGCGGGTACCAGCAACAATGAACATGAACGGTCTTCATCCTAGCATGAATGTGAATGCGCATGAGGGGCCTTGGCCCTAGCAAGCGCATGTTCACGCATAGATGGCTGAATCCACAGCATGAATAATATGTTGCACGAGGGTCCCGAGTCCCTTCATGCTTCTGATGCGCTGATCCAGCCGAATCGGGGTCACACGGTCGCACGCATGAAGGGCCGAGGCCCCAGCGTGAGGGGTCGACGCATGAAAGGCCGAAGCCTGGCGTGTGGGGTCGACGCATGAGGGGCGAAGCGCCGGCATGAGGGGTCAGCGCACGAGGGGTCCAAGCCCCGGCGCGAAGGGTCAATTCATGAAGGGCCAATGCCCCAGCAAGGGGCCAGCGTGTGAGGGGCCAAGGCCCCAGCACTGTACCTGTCCAGGTACCCGCGCGGGTAACAGCAACAAGAAAAAACATGAATGGGCAACACCCAAGCATGGATGCGAAGGTGTATGCGAGGCCGTAGCCCCAGCAAGCACATGTTGACGCTTGAAGGGTCTAGGCGCCAGCATGACTAGTGCGTTGCATGAGGGTCTAGAGCCCCAAGATGCTTCTGACGCGCTGATCCAATCGAATCAGTAGGCCAGGGGCTACTACGAACTTCCTTTGCAAGGGTCTGTAGTCCCTGGCCCTACAAGGCAGCGGGTGGAATGCCACCCTGTTCTGTATGGCTGGCTTGCTGATCCGATCGAATCAGCGGTCCAGGGGCTACCGCGAGCTTGCTATGCAGTGGTCCGTAGTCCCTGGCCCTACCAGCCTTCCTGCTGGCAGGCTGATCCTGTCGAATCAGCGGGTCGGGGGCTACTGCGAACTTGCTGTGCAGTGGCCCGTGGTCCCCGACCCTGAATGCCGCATGCGGCAGCGGCGGCAAACATCAAAGATGATGCGCGGATCCGGCTACAAGCGAAATCTGTGAGTTCGTAGCTCTCTGCTTCCTTGCCCGACGCATGAAGGGCCTCAACGTCGGTATTGGTATTGGCAAGAATGCCCTCTACAAAAATGCAAGGCTGGGGAAAGCCCACCCACACACAGCCAGATCAGGGCGCTGCCCTGTGGAGGCAATACACCTCGTGCGAATGCCAAAGAATATCCCGACTAATAAGGTAGGTATGGAGGAGCTGGGAAACGTTGCCCAGCTTCTTGATATATCGAGAACGCAACTGCTCGCTCTATATGGCAGTTTCAGATGGGGTTAGGGTGACCCTTGTTTAAAACCGGACTGCCTGCGTCGCCCCAGTGGGGTAACTCCAGAGGGCTTCGGTGAGGTGCTCTTCGGAGACCGACGGTCTCCTTACAGGCGCCCCGTGCGTCCTAACCCAACTACCCAACAAGAGCCCGCGCAACATTGGCACGGGGAGGAGGAGGATGAGGAGGAGGACGAAGACCAGTGTATACCGTATACCCAAGATCCATGAACGATTTTGGAAGAACCCCCCCTCGAAGCTCCTTCTTCATAGGCCCCTACAAAGGGTCATTTCCACTTGGGGAACTGCCTTGCTGGAGGACAACCGTTTGAAGACCCTGAAACATGCCAAAACATTGCTCTCGGGATTCTAATGCCACGGATCAACTTGATTGTTGCGTCTTGACGATCGTGAATCGTGCCATAACGCCATTCCTGGGAGTTCAACACCGAGAATCAATGTACTTTCCCGAAACCGTCTAAAACACCATTTGGATTGCGCTGATCATGCGAACCCGTGTATCCCTTGAACAACAACGAATGTTTCAGCAGGGACCGACCGTCCCGGCATTTCTATGGGGCTACCACGACATGCTTTTAGAATCCGAACATGCTCTAAAAACAAAAAACAAGGTTCTTACAACATAGGCCTGGTGTGTTAAAACAGGACAGCTCCCGCCAGACATGTTTTAAGAAACTTGCGTGCGGACCCCAACAATTTCCTAAAAACATTGTTTGGTCGGCCTATAGGGGCGCCGAGACGCTTCGCCACTTCTTCAAATGTGCGCGGCGATAAAGCGAGAACGCCATTTTGATAAAGAGCCGCCGTTAATTCGTGAAGCCCTTGCACCTTTTTAAAATGAAGGTGCGCGTCGCTAAGGAGAAAGCCACATTTTGAAGACGGGTCGCCCTGGACCCGTGAAACTCTTGCACATTTTTAATCCGAATGTGCGCGGCGTTAAGGCGAGAGCCAAATGTTGAAAACCACCCGCCCTCCATTTTTTTTTTTTTTTTTTGTTTTTATAAAAAACCCAGCGCACGATCTTCGTTTTGTTTTGGTTGCCCAGAGCAAAATGACACCACAGATGAGGAAAAATACGCGTCTCAAATGCAACCTCTTTGTTGCACCGTACCGAGCACACCATGCCGCTGGACCCCTTTCAAAAGCAGGGAGCAGCAGAACACGGGTGGCACTACATATGAGGAATAAAACGCGTCTCAAATGCAACCTCCTCCTTGCACCATGCCGGGCACTCCATGCCCCTGGGCCCCTTAACACAGCAGGGAACAGCAGCACACGGGTGGCACTACAGATGAGGAAAAATTTGCGACTCAAATGCAACCTCCTTGTTGCATTTGTCTGAGGGGGGGTGAGGCAGAGGCAGAGGAGGAAGCGGGGCGGGGAGGAAAGAGGAGGGGGGACAGCCAGACAAATTATTGAAATCAGTAGACCATCCCAGCTCAGATGTTCTATAAATCGAGCACGCTGAACTATAGAGAGCGTGCCAGAAAGCCCCAACGGCGGGAGACTGGCAAGGCACAGAGTTGCACCCCGATGGCAACTGATAGACTAAGTGGTGGATGAGGCTGTCCACGCGGACGTGCCGCGTGGAGGCGGCTGGCCAGCGAAGGCAGCGCGGGCTAGCAACGGCTCCCGGGAGGGAGGGAGCGGCCGACAAGACCGGGCGGCACGTCAGTGGCCCACCCCCGCGTGCAACCGGCGCAAGTGCCAATTCTTCGCACAAGAGCGGCCACCCCGGCGCACTCCGTGCCACGTCCCGCGGAGAGGAGGAGGAGGAGGAGGACGAGGAGGAGGACGATTTTGCGCTCCTGTCGAGCGGCCTGGGCCTTAGCGGCCTCCAGTGCCCCGCCAGCTAGGCTGCCCCGCGCGGGTCCGGAGGCCCCTGAAAACGGAGGAACACGCACGAGGCGGAACTCGCATCCCTGCCTCGAATGCCACTCCCCCGCGTGGGGCCCCACACCCGAAGAAGGAAAGGGACCGCCCCGACGACGACGGCGGCAGCGACGGCGACGGCGACGGCGACGGCGACGGCAACGGCGACGACGGCGACGGCGACGGCGACGGCGACGGCGAGACGACGACGACGACGACGACGACGACGACGACGACGACGACGAAAACGACGACGACGACGGGGGAACGGGGAAGGAAGCAGGGGGCCGCAACAGCAGCGGCAGGAGGAGGGGAGGGGAGAAGGAAAAGAGGGGAGAGAAGCGGTCCCCTGCCCCCCGGGCGAAGGGCCCCTGGGGAGGCGGTGGGCGGACAGAGCGTGCCCCCCTGGGCCTCCGCAGCCGCGGATGGACCTGCCGGCGCGGAGCCGCCGATCGGCGCCACGATTCGGAGGGAGAAAGACGAAGCGGAGGGAACGGAGCGGAACGCGCGGGAGGAGGAAGGAGGAATCGGCACTACAATCATCATCAGACAAGTTCTCGGAGTTTCAGCCTCAGTGCGTTGCGGCACTCCAACGGCCCGCTGGCGGCCGAGTGGCGGGCCCAACAGTGCGTGAGGTACACCCCGCACGTGGCCAGAGCACGGCGTCGCAGCGCTGGCGCAGTGTCCTCGGAGTACGCCGGCTCGAGCAGCAGGAAGCTTGCCAGGCGTAGTTCTGGCGTGGTCGGGCGCGCGATGCCCATTTCGCGATACAC